GAGACACTGTTTCCCCTAGAGCCCTCTGGCATGACAAGGAACAATGGACACAAACTATTAGAGAGTAGGTTTAGATTAGACATCCGCAAGAACTACTTCACAGTTAGGGCGGCTAGGAGCTGGAACCAACTCCCTAGGAAAGTGGTGCTGGCTGGGGATCTTAAGAAGAGGCTTGATGACTACCTGGCTGGACTCATTTGAGTCCAGTCTTTTCTCCTGCCCAGGCAGGGGGGTCAGACTTGAAGATCTACAAGGTCGCTTCCGACCCTACTTCTATGATTCTACGAACTCCATAAATTAACTACAAGTTGCATAAGAAAGTACTTTCACTTGTTAGTTTTCAACCTATCATCTATTAATTTCAGCAGATGACCCCATTTCTAGTATTCTGGGACATGGTGAACACAGTCTGTTGGTCCACACACCAGTCCTATTCACTTGGTCTACACCCTTCATGATTTTACAGTCCTCTATCATATCCCCCCTCAGCCTTCTTTCCAAAAAGAGTCCTAGCCTTCTTAGGGCCTTAGCATAAAAGTTACCTTAAAACTGGCATAAAAGCATTTAAAAGAAGAACAGTTCATTAGTTAATGGGTATTAAACTGCCATAAGTACCCTTTAAATGTTTTAAAGATAAACCACTCTAAAGAAGGTACATCCTGGAAACATTTTACCTACGCCGTTCCAAGGTACTGTTTGAACCGTCAGGGGAAATGAAACACATTACTTTCGTTCCTCCAGTACCCAAGGATGCTCAGCTCCCAGCTGCTCTACCTGCTTCTACCCTCCAAAACTAGTGGTTCCCCACCTTCACTATTAAGAAGAACTGATCTAAGCTTAATTGCAGAAACACCCTGGATCTGGGGAAGCCTGCAGGAAGCTCAGTTGCATCCTGAAAACAGAGCCCCAGAGAAGCAGCCCCTGGGGCTAGGTGCTGGGGCTGAAATTGATGCCACCAACTGGGGGGACGCTGAAGCTGGGGAAAGCATGCAGCCAGTACAACCCCTGCTGTCCCGAACCCTACTCCCCACTCCAACCCAATCCCAATTCATTGAGACACATACAAAATTTTAGTCCTTTTATTTTTTTTAATCTTTTTTTTCCCCACTTCTTTTTCTATATCCCCCCTGCCCCCTATGCCCTAACCCACCTCACTTCAACCAATTTTTTTCAAAATTTCTCCCCTCCCACTCTCCACTCTGGCTGGGCTCCTGCTGGAAGTGGAGGGAGAGAAGACCCTGTGCTGGTTTCTCTGCCTCCCAGCTACATGCCACCCTCCTCACTCCTCTCCCACCATAGGGGAGAAATGGAGTCCTGGCTCCTGTACACTCCCTTGGCCCAGAGACTGTGGGGCTGCTTTTCTGTCCTCATCCATTCACATCTCCCGTTTTCTAATTCTAGTGCATCCTTTTATCATTCCTCCAGCATCCCAGAAAGCATAGCTCCCAGCCGCTCTACTACCCCTTCCTACCCTCCAAAACCCCAGTGGTTCACCACCTCCCCCGCTTCTCACTGGCCATGTCTACATGAAACACTGACTGCACAGTAACAACTGTGCAGTCATTTAGTACTTGCATAATTAAGTAGTAAATGACTGCACAGTAACCCATGTTGCCGTGCAGTAGTGTAGCGAAAATAGATACTTTTCTCTATGTTTCTTTGTTCTTTGTTTTAGTATTAACCCCTGCATTCTGTAACTTTCCACCCACATGGTACAGGATGGCCCACTACCCCTATGCCTTATAGGCTGCTCAGGTTTTGGTTTGAAATGACCAATTAAAATGTAACACCTCAACTGAAAAGAATGCTAGCTCAATAAAAGCCACGTGCGCTCTTTGTTTGGGGTCGACACTGATCTGAGCAACAAGCTCCTCTGTCGGCCTGCTTGCAAGCAATAAAATAGAGTTGGATCCAGCCTGAAAGTGTGACTCTCTTCTAGAGGTGAATTGGACTAGCCTCCAGGGGATAAAATCAGCAATTTATGCAACAGTAGCATCCTGGCATGGTTGCCAAGTGATGCTTACTGCCCAGTAGCTAGTTACTACTGAACAGCAGAGTTGCATCACAGTTCATGCACAGCGACCCTACTGCACAGTACACATCTCATGTAGATGAGCCACTGAAAACTGCTCTGAGCTTAATTGCAGAGAGATCCTAGAGCTGGGGAAGCCTACTTCCCTCAGCTGCATGGTACCACTGCAGGAAGCAGGCAGCCATTGCAACTAGGCAGCTGCATCACCAATTCTGCATGTTGGATCGCTTTAGCTGCAATAGGCAGGATGTTTCCTTAAAGCCCCAAGGCCGGAAGGAAGAGACCATGCACCAAATCTTCAGCCTTTGTTTAAAAAAAAAAAAAATCTACATTTTCTACTCAAAAGGTGAAACCAGAGCCCCAAACACCAGAGTTATTTTAAAAAAAATAATAATTAAAAAAAGTGTAAAGCTTTACCTTCATGTATATATATATATATATATATATATGATTTCTGGGAGTAGAAAACTTTGAAAGGCGATTCCAAAACGTGGAAGCAATTTTAAAAAATAAAATAAAATCCAGCCAAATGTTCTCTCTAATTTGATATATAGATATCTATAGATACATCTATAGATATCTATATCTATAGAGAGAGAGATGAATATATATGACAGAGAGAGAGAGAACATTTGGCAATATTAGATAGATCTATCTATATATACTATAGATACAACTATAGCGATATCTCTATAGATGTGTGTGTGAGATACAGGTTATATTAATATATCTGTTTATGTAAAAAAGAGGATCTCGTGATTTTTGTGGTGAGCAGGTGATTTCTGCGGGCCACCCACGCCTCTGAGAGCTCGGCAGTGGGAGCTGGGGCGCGGGGGCAGGATGCGGCGGGGCGGGCGCGGAGAGGAGGCAGAGGCAGGGGCAGGACGGAGACGGCAGGGCGCTGCTCTCACCTGGTCCACGTAGCTGGGCACCTCGCGCAGGCTGCGGAAGGAGGACTCGCTGGGCTGCAGGGCGTAGAACAGCGCGCGGAGGCGCTGCGACGCGGGGAGGGCGGTTGCGGGGGTCCCCACTGCCATGGCGCTGGCGGGCCGGGGCAGGAGACCTTGGTGCCGGGCGGGGCGAGTGACTCACCGGGGAGAAAGTTCACGGCGGGCAGCGGCGCTGACGGGACAAGAGTGCAGCCAGCCAAGGGCAGCGCTGCCGAGCCGGCCCTGAAACCGAAGCACGGCGTTGCTCCGCAGGCTCTGCCCCATCTGCCCCGGCCCATCCGCCTGCGCCTCAGCAACAGCCCCGGGCTCCTGCAAAAGCCCCACTTGTGTGTCCAGAAGCCGCCTCACACTTCCCGGGGCCGTGCGTGAGCCCCTGCCGGAGAGCGCGGTTTCTTCTTAATTTTCACAGCAAGTCTGCAGGCTTGGGGCAGAGGAAAATATTTTTTCTTCCTAAAGAAACAAAATACTGAATCCATTTTTTTTTCAGTTTCTTTTCTCTAAGTCTACCGCCTGGATGCATTTGGTGTTGTTGTCTCTCTGCTGAGTAGTGTTTGCCAGCCTTGCTCTTTATATTCACTTCCTTGCTTCCCGGTGCATCATGGCTCCCTTCCCGGGAGCTCAAGCAAGTGTTGCTGATAAGGGCAGTATTAATGGTCACACCACTGCCCCATTTAAAAGTGGGGAAGGAAGGTATAGAGTAGATCCTTCCTCAGGGAACATCAGTGAGAGGAAGCAAGAGCCTTGTGGAAGCAGGCCTTCTTTCTGGCAACACAAGGAACACGCGTTTGCCTGGCCTCCTTGTCCAGCCTACTCCGTATGTTTGGCATTAGGACAAAAAAGTGTGTCATGATAAAATGGCTCAGCCAAAAATTAACACACAAGGGAAATATAATGATTTAGTTAATTAGTAACATTCTCCATCTGTAGGTATAATGCCCCACATCTTTTGTCTTGGAAGCCTTCAGTTCTGCTTACAGTCCTGGCAAAGCCCATTGGCAACCTCATCCTAGGGCATGTCCAGACAAGCGTGCACATGGTTTTCATAGTTTCATAGTTTGTAGGGTCACAAGGGACCTGAGTAGATCATCAAGTCCGACCCCCTGCCATGGCAGGAAAGAGTACTGGGGTCAAACGACCCCAGCAAGGCATTCATCCAGCCTCCTTTTAATAACCCCCAGAGTAAGAGCTGGCACCACTTCTCTTGGAAGTTGGTTGCAGATCCTAGCCGCCCTGACAGTGAAGTAGTGCCTCCTGATGTCTAGCCTGAATCTACCCTCTGCCAGCTTGTGACCGTTATTCCTGGTCACTCCTGGCAGTGCTGGGGGGAACAGGGACTCCCTCAATGCCTGCTGGTCCCCTCTCACTAGTTTGTATCAGGCCACTAGATCCCCCCTCAGCCTTCTCTTGTGGAGGCTGAACAGGTTCAGGTCCCGTAGCCTGTCGTCGTAGGGCCTGCCCTGCTGTCCCCTGATCATACAAGCGGCCCTTCTCTGGACCCTCTCCATATTATCCACATCCCTCTTGAAGTGCAGTGCCCAGAACTGGATGCAGTACTCCAGCTGCGGCCTGACCAGTGCCCCATACAGGGGGAGTATCACCTCCTTGGACCTGCTTGAGATGCATCTGTGGATACATGACAAGGTGCAGCTGGCCTTCCTGACCGCGTCCCCACACTGCCGGCCCATGTTCATTTTGGCATCAATGACGACTCCAAGATCCTTTTCTGCCTCTACACCGACGAGAAGAAAGTTCCCCAGCCTGTAGGTATGGTGCTGGTTCTTCCTCCCCAGGTGCAGTACCCTGCACTTGTCAGTGTTGAATCCCATCCTATTCTCGTCCGCCCACCTCTGTAACCTGTCTAGGTCCGATTGCAGTGTATTCCTTCCTTCTAGCATGCCCACACACCCCCACATCTTAGTGTCATCAGCAAATTTGAACAGGGTGCTTTTTACCCCCTCGTCCAAGTCATTGATGAAGATATTGAACAGTGCGGGCCCGAGGACCGAGCCCTGGGGGACCCCACTGCCCACATCCCTCCAGGTCAAAAATGATCCATCCACCACCACTCTCTGGGTGTGGTCCTCCAGCCAGCTGGCGACCCATTTGACTGTGTAGGT